AGATTAATAGATAGATGATGATAGATGATGATTAGATGATAGATAGATAGATAGATAGATAGATAGATAGATAGATAGATAATAGAGTGATGATAGGTGATAGATAGATAGGTAAATAGATAAATAATTTTAAAAAAAGAAACCAGGAAAAAGAAAAGACAGGAAGCCCAGGCCCCACAACCCAAAACCCTAACCAGGGTGGCCTCTGTGGTGGCTCTGGGTCACCCATCAGTCTTACTCCTCTACCTCAGTTTTCCCAGCTGGCAGGTGGGAACATGGTCAGGGGGTCTGGGTGCTGGGAATACTAGTTCCTGTTGAGTGCTCCAAGAAGTTGACCAAGATTGACAGCTGGATGTCACCACCTTCCCCACTGCCCACCTTCCAATGGCAGTCCTTGAAGGAGGTGACTGGACTAGCAGGTAGCCTGTGCCACAGAGGGGCTGGATGTCCCAAGCCGAAGCCAAGGGCAAAGGGATCAGCCACAGAGCCCAGACCAGCAAAGAGGAGGGCTGGACTTGGGGGCCAGCACCCCCAAAGGAGGGCCTCCACTGATGTCAAGCACTGCCTGTGGCCTCCTGTCCACCAGCGCCTTGAGAAGGGTAAGGTTCAACCCTTCTAAAATTCTTCCAAGACAGGCGGATGCCCTTCTGGGGCATGGCTCTATGAGCCTCTCTCCCTGGGGCCCACTCGGCCCTGGCACTCAGCTGTTTTGATCAGGTTTGTCCAAAATGCAAACAAGAAAGCTGAGAAACGGGGGCCAGTGATGTTGTGGGGCAAGGTTGGAGGATGTCCGGACGCACGAGGTGCAAAGGGCCAGGGCCGGAGCCAGCAGCTGACCCAGGCTGGACCACCATGTGACACAGAAGTAGAAGCCCATCCAGTGGGGCCTAATCCAGACAGGCCTACACCCAGGATCTGGGGCCTTTGCACAGGTGGCTCCTCCACTTCCCACTCTCTCCCATCCCACCACCACCACCACCAGGCTAGGCACTGATGGTCTGCCTGGCCACAGTCTGACCCAGCTCTTTCCCAGGACCTCTGGGGGGGGGGGGGCTGGAAACCCATGGAACCAGGCTTTATAGGGTTAGGCAGTCCCATTCCAAGGGAGCCACTTGGAAGGGGAGGGGTCACTGCAGGCCTGGTAACTGAACAGTGAATGCCCTGCCCAAGAAGCCCAGACTATACACCAGGCACCACTCACCAGTAACCCCCTAAGGCTATTTCCCAGCAGGGAAACCAAGGCTCACTGTAGACCGTACCACTGAAGGACAGGGCTGGTGGGGCTCAGCTAGGGCTTCCCTGACCCAGCGCCACTGAGAACTAGCCAATATCCTTCTACCACTCCTGGGATCACCCACTGCTCTGAGTCAAGGCCTATCCTTCAGGGGCCTAGATACATCCCATTTGACATGAGGAGGGTCCCCCATCCCTCAGCTCACACCCAAGCCCAAGGCTGAGCACTGCCCACAGCACAAGCTGAGGCCCCTGAGGGCCTGGAGGGTCTACGCACCTAGTAAGCTGCAATCCTCAGCCTCTACCAGAAGCTCTGAGGCAGGCTAGACCCTGGGCCAAGGGCATGGCCCTGGTAGCATCCTCCAACCCAACCTCCAGGATGCCCTGCAGGGAGGCCTGGACCCTTCCTGCAGGCTCTAGGAGAAGTTGCAGTCCAGTGGGCTTGAGCCTGATGCCGGCCTGGCCCCGTCACCCCAAAGCAGAAGGGGGGGGGCCTCCTCTGCAGACAACAGACAGCCCTGGCTGGCCCAAGGTCACCGGGGGTCAGGACAGGTCCCTGGGCTCAGGCTCCTGGTATGACCAGGGGAGAGTATGTCCCAAGTCTGCTACGCTGGGCAAACAAGCCCCCTTTGGAGTCGTGAGCGCCGGATGGACCCCGCGCCCCCAGGGCCGCGGCCGCACCCCGCTGCCGCCCCCCCCACCCCGCCTACCTGCAGGCCCTTGGAAAAGGGGCACAGGAGCACCAGGTGCGCCAGGCGCCTCAGCCGCCGCATGATGGGCGCCGGCCGGGGCTGCGGGACCCGCGGCTGGCTCGGCCTCAGCCCCCGCCCGGCCCGGCCCGCAGAGGCCCCAGCTCGCTCGCCATGCGGGCAGCTCGCCCCGGGCCCGCGTTAAAGGCAAGGGCGCGCGCCTTTCTGACGGCCGACCGCGGTGCGCGCTGAAGGGAGGAGTGGGGAGGCGCGCGCTGGGAGAAGGGCTGGAGGGAGGGCGGAGAGCGTGCAAGCGTGGGGAGATGGACAGCGGGGAGGACGGACGCGCGGGGGAAGGGTGCAAGCACAGGGAAGTGTGCACGCGAGGAGGAGGAAGTGTGCACGCGAGGGGGAAGTGTGCACGCGAGGGAGACGTGTGCACGCCCCAGGGGGAGAAGTTGCATGCGCGGAGGAGGAAGAGTGCACGCGCGGAGGAGGAAGAGTGCACGCGCGGGGGAGGAAGTGTGCACGCGCGGGGGACGGAGTGTGCACGCGCGGGGGTGGGAATGTGCACTGCGGGGTTAGGAGTGTGCACACAGGAAGTGTCCATACTCCGGGAAGGGGTGCGCACTGCTGGAGTCCAGCCTTGCCCTCCAGTAGGGAACCAGGCTCTCCACCCTCCACCTCTACTCACACTGTGACACCCCCCCTTTTACATTTCCTCCACCTTGTCTGGGCTAAAAGGCCCTTCCGGATTTGCACGTGCATCCAGGAGCACCACTGGGGCACTGAGCCTCTCCACCCCTGGCCTTGCCGGCCCAGTCCTGGTCCCACGGTTGCTGAGGACCCGGCGTTGGTACAGCATCCGAGGGTCAGCTACTGCTTTATTTATTTGTTATTATTTGTTTGTTTATTATTTTATGTGTATGAGTGTTTTGCCTGTGTGTAAGTGCACCACATGTATGTATGTAGTTCCCACGAAGGCCAAAAAAGGGGGTGGATTCCCCAGAACTGGAATTACAGATGGTTGTTAGCCACCATGTGGGTGCTGGGCACAGAACCTGGTCCTCTGCAAGAGCAGCCAGTGCTCGTAGCCATCTGTTTGTTTTTAAGACAGGGTCTCACTATGTTCTTGACTTGCCTGGAACTCCTTATGTAGACCAGGCTGGCCTCTAACTCTCAGAGACCCACCTGCCTCTCAAGTGCTGGGATGAAGAGTTTACGCCACCAGGCTCAGTCTTTTTTGTTGTTTTTATGTTTCCCAAGCTAGCGTTGAACTCCCTATGCAGTTGAGAATGAATTTGAACTCCCGACCCTCCAGCCTCCACCTCCCAAGTGCTGGGATTGCAGCCTGTAATCTACAAATGTGACTGTCTGGCAGAAAGTTAGAGGAACAGAGAATGGGTCCTCAAGGGCAGGAGATGTGGCTCAGTGGGTAGAGTGCTTGCCTAGCACCAAGCCTGGGTTTGATCTCCAGCACCACATAAACTATACGCGTGTCCTAGTTCACATTCTGTTGCTGTAATAAAACACCCTGAGTAAGGCAGCGTATAGAGGGACAGTTTATTTGGGCTTACAGTTCCAGAGGGCTGAGTCCATCCTGGAGGGGAGGCATGGTAGCAGGAGCCAAAACCTGAGAGCTCCCAATCTTCAGCCAGAAACACGAAGCAGTGAGAGCCAACAGGAAGTCCCCAGTAACACGCTTCCTCCAGCAAGGCTACACCTCCAGAAGACTGCATGACCTCCCAAACAGTACTACCAACTGGAGACCAAGTGTTCAAACAGTTGAGCCTATGGGGAACATTCTCATTCAAACCACCACAGCACGGTAGAGCACACCGGCAGTTCCAATACTCAGTACTCAGTAGAGGCAGGAGGCTCAGGAAGGAATTCAAGGTCATCCTTCCCTACATCTGAAATTCAAGGCCCACCTATAGGCAACATGTGGAGGAGAGATGAGAAAGAGAGAGAGAGAGAGAGAGAGAGAGAGGAAGAGAAGAGAGAGAGGAAGAGAAGAGAGAGGAAGAGAAAGAGAGGGAGAGAGAGAGAGGGAGAGAGAGAGAGAGGAGACAGAATCAGTGCCATTTGTTACAGGTACCGGGTGTCATCACCTTCATCCCTTGGGTGGGACCTCCTGTCAGGTCTCCCCACCATGAAGTCACCATGCTTCCTTTTATGACTGGTGAGGATTCTGGACATCACAGTGTGACCCTGGGCATACCACATTCCTCACGCATACACAACCACTCCTGTTTTATGTAGTGAGCCCAGGACTTCATGCACACTAGGCAAGCTCTTATTTATTATTTATTTTGGTCTTTTTGAGACAAGGTCTCCCTGTAGCCCCAGCTGGCCTGGAACTCACCATATAGACCAGGCTGGCCTTGAACTGACTGAGATCCGACAGCTTCTGTCTCCTGAGTGCTGGGTTTAAAGACATGTGCCACCATGCCCAGCTGCCATCAACTGAGCTCCAGCTCCAGCCCTTTCTGTTCTTTTTATTCTATACCCAGAACTGGAATCTCTAGATTCCTTAGTAATCTGTTTGATTTTCTAAAAGATTTCATTTGTTATGGCCAGGAGTAGTAGAGAACACCTTTAATTCCAGCCCTTGGAAGAGAGACAGAAGCAGGCAGATCTCTGTGAGATTGAGGCCAGCCTGGTCTACACAGTGAGTTCTCCGTGGCTACAGAGAGACCCTGTCTCAAAAAGACAAAAAGAAATAAAGATTTTATTATTTTTAATTGTGTAGATTTATGCACATGAGTGCAGGGCCCATGGAGGCCAGAAGGTATCGGATCCCTTGGAACTGGATGTCAATGTGGTTGTGAGCTGCCAGATATGGGTACTGGGAACTGAGCTCAGATGCTCTGCAAGGGTGATACAGGCTCTTAACCACTGTGCCATCTCCCCAGGCTGTGTTTGAGTTTTCTGTTTTGTTTTGAGAAAGTTTCCTTGTAATACCAGCTGGCCTGGAACTCTCTATGTAGAAGAAGGCTGACATGAATCTCACAGAGATCCTCCAGCCTCTGACTCCCAAATGCTGAGATGAAAGGCATGTGCCACCACCACACCTGACTTTGATTTTTGAGGAATGACCATAGTGACTAGCTACTTCACCTTCCCCCCAGAGCAGGACTTTGAAACCGTGTTAAGCTAAGTCCAGAGAGGAACATTTGGAAGCATCCTGTTTATAAAAATGATCCCTTTGCATAGTAGTTGACTTACAGTGGCCAGAAATGTAGCATTTGGGCATTTGTAAACAGAGATTCAAGTCCAAGGCCAGCCTGGGGTAAAAAATGAGACTTTGGGGTTGGAAAGATGACTCAGCAGTTAAGAGCTCTAGCTGTTAAGAGCACTAGCTGCTCTTGCCGAGGATCCAGGTTTGGGTCCCAGCACCCACAACCATCTATAACTCAGTTCTGGATCTGACGCCCTCTTCTGACCTCTGGGGGCATTGTACTACATGGGTACACTTACAGGCAGGTAATACACACATAAAATAAAAAATAAAATATTTTTTAAATAGGGTTTAAAATGAGGCTTTGTTTTACAAACAAAAAATACATATATTTAAGCTGGGCATGATGGCACACACCTTTAATGTCAGCACTTGGGAGGCAGAGGCAGGTGGATCTCTGTGATTTTAAGGCCAGTCTGGTCTACATAGGGAGTTTCAGAGAGTTCCAGGCCAGCTGGGGCTTCAGGGAGACCCTGTCTCAGAAAGACTAAAACTATATATATATATACACAAAGATATATATTCATATTTCTGTCTTTCTGAGTTCATAATGATGTGGGAATGACCAGGGGTGTGTGTGTGTATATGTGTGTATTTTAAGACAGGCTTTTGTATAGCCGTGAATGGCTTTGAACTCCTGATCCTCCTGCCTCCATCTCCCAAATGTAGGGATTACAAATATATGCCACCACACCCTACATCCCATGCCTAACTCCAGAATAACTTCGCTCCTTTGTCTTTGGAAATAGGGTCTCTCACTATGTAGCCCTGGCTGGCCTGGAGTTCATTATGTAGAAAAAGCTGCCCTCAAACTCACAGAAATCTGCCTGCCTCTACCTCCTAAGTACTGGATTAAAGGCCCACACCACTGGAATGACCTTGGTCCCGGAATAACATTTTATGGATTTCCTAACGAGACCCTCAACTTCCTCCATAAATGAAAACACCTCCTCCTCAGAACTAAGAAAAAGCCGGGCGTGGTGGTACACGCCTTTAATCCCAGCACTCGGGAGGCAGAAGCAGGTGGATCTCTATCAGTTTGAGACCAGCCTGGTCTACATAGTGAATTCCAGGCCAGCTGGGGCTACAGGGAGACCCCGTCTCAAAAAAAAAAAGAAAATCTAGAATACTTCTCTCAGCAGGCCTCCAGAGTTAATGGTGAACAACTCAGGATTAGGTGTCCTCCTTTCCCCCCAGCATTCCGTGATGCTCCAGTTCTGGCTGCAGAGCTACTGCCCAAAGTGCATGGCCCCCTGAAGAGTAGATCGGTGGGCAGATCTCCAGAAAGTGAGCTTTGTCTCCAGGGACTCACCTGTGCTGCTATAATTGAGTTGCAGTTGCTATAGCAACTGCATGGTTCATCTAAATGCTGTGTGCATTAATAATGTTTCCATGTAAACCAAGAAGGAATTCAGATGAAACCAAATGGAACACTTTGGGCTCTACCGTGACCCGCCCCCACTCCACCCCACCCCAAGAACTGGCTGCTGAGAAGCCAGGACAAATACTGAAGCCCTAAAGGACCCCCAAGCCCCCTGCAGCAGAATTGTGGACGACACCCCAACGCCATGGTTGACATGCAGACTGGGGTCCCAGGTGGCACACCCATATCTGCAGAGCCTTTGCACAGGTGCCCAGGGCGTGCAAAGTGTTCGTGTGTGCTGTGCTTAGTCTGTTTTTGTTTTTTGGTCTTTTTGAGACAGGGTCTCCCTATAGCCCCAGATGGCCTGGAACTTGATATGTAGATCAGGCTGGCCTCCAACTCACAGAGATCTGCCTGCCTCTGCCTCAAATGCTGGGACTAAAGGCGTGCGCCACCTGGCTCAGCCGTGCTCATTTTGTATTTCTTGTTTGCACTGACTTTTCATTAATATCTGGTTCAAATCTCAGCACTGCTGTGTGTGTGTGTGTGTGTGTGTGTGTGTGTGTGTGTGTGTGTGTTACAAGGGATGGAACCCAAGGCCCTGTGCATGCTGGGCAAGTATTGTATCCCTGAGCCACACATCCCAATCCTCAGCCAAATGGAGTGATCCAATAGCTGTCTCCCAGAGATTCACCCAGTCCTAGTTCCCAAGACCTGAGACTGTGACTTCAGTTGGGAAAAGGGCCTTTGCCAGAGGCCAAAAGTCAGAAACTTGGCCCAGGTGTGGGTAGGACCACACTCAAAGTGGGGTTCTAGAGGACAGTCTTCCCTACCTTTTTCAGGTTCTAGAGGCCCCCAATGTCCTTTGGTCTGTGGCCAAAGCTCCAGAACATACAAC